CCAACATGCTTCGTCCGGGGAATCTGTTCATCTTGCAGTAGTTCTTCAGAAAGAGTAGAAGATCAGTAGGTGCTGCAAGACAAATAGATTCCCCTGACGTGTTGGCGAAACATGTAGGAAATTTTTGGAGATTTAATTGAGAAGTAATATATATTTATCTGATTTTGCACCATCGGCCTTGGCCCTATTTTTTTTAATCTTCTGTGACTGGTGCGGCTCTTTATTTTCTTGCCGCTGGCATTAGGCACAACGTGATGTCTGGTGATGGGGTTGTATTTCCCATTTTTATGGGGGGCACAGTTGGCCCGAGGATCTGCTATCTTTGGCGACAACCCTTTGTCTCTGCAAGTGGATTTTTCTGCGCTAAATTTTCAGTCACCGCCACAGCGAGTGATCTCGGTGGGTTTTTGTGTATGGCTGACAAAGCATTTCGGGAGAACTGTTCAACGTGGAGAGTAACATTCGAAGGGACCACCCAGAAAGTCACTTGCCCCTTTCAGAGATGAAACTGTCGTGGCTGGGTTATGATTGATGATTTAAGCAGATTCCTTTAAAAAAAATTAATGCCGGTTTATATCTGAATTTCTAAAAGACGGCTTAAGTTATTCAGGAACTCAGTTTGAACAATCATACTTCTGGGTATCCTGTTTGTATCAATGATAATGCAGAGCATCTCTAGCAGGAATAAGGGGAGGTAGTTCATGCCTGAAATGTTTTTTCCAATGAGAGTGTGAAAGACTGAGCAAAAAGCACTGGAATAACCAAAGGTGGAAAAGCTGATGCTCCCCAGGAGGGCGGCTGACCTTACAGAATTCTATGTGGACTTGAACCTCTTCAGCTATTTCTGAGGCTCTGCCTGCTTACTTTTCCACTGTGTTTAGCGGGGTTTACTCACAAGTAACTGGCAAGAAGACACATCTGGCATTTGTTCGTAACTTCAAAGATCTCTCTTTATTCCTTATATCCACGCCTCATAATATACCAGAGGAGGGATCTGCAAGGACTCGCAGGGGAGGGGTAGTCTCATCTGCTGGACCCTGTTTCCTCTCGCCTTGCTCACCCCCCCCTTTCCCATCACCGCTTTCTGCCTCTTCCCTCATACTTCTTGTTGCTATTTTGTCCCCCCCCCCCTTTCTCAGCTCTGCTTTCTTTTTCTAACACTTGATTGCATGGGGTTGCTAGCTGACTGTGATCTTGCAAGGTCTCGGTCGGCATTTTTTAAAAACAAAAATTACAATGTGCGCACAGGTGTCCACTTTTTATGGGGGATTATCCCTTTCATTTTTTAATTTTGCACACACACCCCAGCAAATCTAGGGATAGTCCCAGTTTGTAAAAACCATTCCCCTGTATTTTCCTGACACCGTTGTTTGGATTTTTTGATCTACCCTCTGAGGCCAACCAGAATTATATGTAAGGTTTATTTAAAACATTTCTTTATTTTAATACACCGTTCAGAAATGTACACAAGAAAAAAAAATACAGGTATGACCCGTGTTTCGTGTAAAATTTTAGTAAGGAGACTACCATTTTGGCCCAAGACAACAGCTTATCGCTAATGTTCATAATAATGTAATAATGAGACCCAGCATGGTGTAGTGGTCAAAACATCAGATTCAAATCCCAGGTTCGAATCTCCATTCTGCCATGGAAGCTTGCTGGGGGACCTTGGGCCGGTCACACAATCTCAGCCTCACCTCCCTCACAGGGTTCCTGTGAGAACGAAATCGAGAAGAGAACAATGTGTAAGTCACTTTGGGTCCTCACTGAGGAGAAATATGGCGTATAAATGAAGTAGATTAATATTTTGCTTCACTGTATTTTATAAATGAGCAGTGTATTACTTTGTTTGCTAACATGTTACTCTATCATTATTTTTAAATTGTGATTTTTCACTATTTTGATTGTATCCCAAATCTTAATAATGAGTCCCTTGGCAGGTTCTGTTTTCCTTTTCCAAAATCTTGTGGAACTTTTTCTAGTTTTTACAAGATTTAACACCATTATTATTCACTGCCTTCGTACGTCCTCTCTATAATTTAAAGGCCAGACCAAAGGAGCATATTTTAGCTTAATGTTAATCTTTTTTGTCTGTCTACTAAGATTTTAGAAAATGGTATTTAAATACTGTGTTCATCTCAGTTCCATGTCTTGTGTTACCAATTTTGTCTCCTCCCTGGCTTTTAAATATTGCTAGCAATTTTATACAGCATCGATTCGCTCTCTACATTATCTCAACAATGTGGTTCTCCTTTTGGATGGGAGTTTTCAGGCTTCTTTACGATCACAGTTCGCGAGGCCTCTGTCTCATTTCCTTGTATACGTTTAGCCCCCTCACAGTTATGTTCCCATATAATATGATTACTTTTCAAAAATTGGTTTCACTTCAGCTTTTAGTGTAAATTTTTCACACACTTCTTTTAGGGATTTTTTATGCTTGAGAGAATTGATAGAATGGCATTAGATCAGGTATTCACGGTCCATCTGTGATTTAAAAACTTTACCCGAATGAAGATTTATACACCCCTCTTTCATGACTACAAGTGAAAACCCACAAATGCTGGTTTTATTTTTTAAAAATGCCATTTGACAGTAGTCTTCAGTCTGGTAAATGCAGTACTTTGAACACCTCGTAGAGCAAAATCCCTCTGAGGGCCGAAGGGTATTGGAACGAGGAAGTCGAGAGTACATCTGGGAGAAAGAGGGAAGGCAGCAGAATGAATACAGCCAGGGAAGATGAGGCGGGAAGAAAGATTTATATTCTTAATATACCTTTAATTAAAGTCATAAATGATGCGTTTTATGTTAAAACAGTAAAATGACTCCATAAGAACATAAGTATTGCATATATTTCAATTTTCTTATAAATGTCCATTTCTTCCTCTGGGCGGGGGTGGAGTTTTTAAACCCCCCCCCCATGCCCGGCTTCAAAATTTCTGAGTATTTTTCATCTCTAATTAGAACAGATGCAGTCAATCTGTAAGCGTCTTGAAAATTTGTCTCACACCTGTTCTGCACGCACTTCGCTGGTTTACCCGAGTTCTGTTCGAGGGGCTGTGATTATTCACAGCCCTTCATGGCCTCGGACCCCACATCCCCCTCTGGCTGTGCGCGGCTGCGAAAGTTTTGTGCCTCTGCGCAAAGCCCTCTGAGGGTGCCGCGCTGCAAATGGGTAAGAACAACAGCCGGCCGTGCCAGAGAATTCTCCGTTGTGGCTCGCCTCTGGTAGAAAGCTCTGCCTGACGAAGTCGGGAAGGCCCCCGAGTTTCTCTCATTTTGCAGAATGCGTGACATGGAACTATTCAGGAGAACATTTTAATAAAAGGGAGTAAGTTTGTAAGGAATGGAACTGGTCAGGAGTGAACTTTCATAAAGGGAAGAGGGTTGTCGTTTATTGTACTGCTTGTCATTTATACGGCCTTGTTTTCAAACTGCGTTGTTTTCTGATGTTTGTGATACAGTTCTTGCACTGTTTGTGGTGTTTTTTATCTAGTTAAATTAGTAAATAAATACATTTATTGCCTTGCGCTTTGTAATCTGTGAGGAAGGTGGGCTATAAATAAACAGTAGAAGCGGGCATGGATTTTTCAGTTGCCAAAAATGGGGG